AAAAAAAAAAAAAAGAAAAAAGAAAAAGAAAGCGCCCAATAAAATAAAAATGAAAGAGAGAACAAATTAAAGCTTCTGGAAATGGTCTGAAGGGCAAACAGCAAATGAAGAAACATCTATTCAAGGCCGGGTGTGGTGGCTAATGCCTGTAATCCCAGCATTTTGGGAGACCAAGGTGGATGGATCACTTGAGATCAGGAGTTCAAGACCAGCCTGGCCAACATGGTGAAACCCCGTATCTACTAAAAAAAAAAAATAGAAAAATTAGTTGGGTATGATGGTGCATGCCTGTAATCCTACCTACTAGGGAGGCTGAGGCAGGAGAATTGCTTGAACCCCGGAGGCGGAGGTTGGGTGCAGTGAGCCGAGATCCTGCCACTGCACTCCAGCCTGGGTGATGGAGTGAGACTCCGTTAAAAAAAAAAAAAGAAACATCTATTCAAGAAAATCTATGAGAATTTAGTAAGAAAGGCAAGTCTGTGGTATTGAATCAAGACAACTCAGTCCAGCAAAGGGAGGTGGACTCCACACCAGATTGGTGTTGCCAAGAACACAGGATTCTCTTCTTCCATCTCCCAGCCAGAGGGCTTTTTTCCTGGGAAGAGGGAATGCTTCAGTGTATCTCATCCCTCTCCCAGCTGCCTGTTGTGGAAGTAAGTCCTGAGTGAGTCTGGTCGAGGTGGGGCTCCCTTCTTCCACTTAGCCCCTACTTGTGGAAAGTGGACTATACTTTGGGTGTGACATGCTGAGAATACCGGGGTCCTGATAGCCCTTCTCATGGCTTATGAGGTGACAGTTCCATGCCAGGAGTGGCTGCTGCCTCCCTTCCACTGACTGCTCAGCTCCTAGAGTGGGAGTGTGACTCAGAAGTTTGCCACTGAGCTAAGAGATTTTGCCTGGAGGGGAAAGGCAGGTTGTAAAACAGCCCATGATCGCTTCCCATAGGAACTGACCTTACTTGCAAGGGAATACAAGGAAGTTTAAACCCAAGGGTATTCTCAACAGCAGTAGACATTATGGTGAAAAGCAACTGGAAGGAGATTCACGGATCTAATGAAGATACAGCCTAGGTTGGAGGTTGGCTAGTTTGCAGGAGAAAATGGGGTAATAAGACAGCTGGGTGGAGCCCTACTGGGATTAAAGAATATATAAAACACTGGCCTCTGAAACTGTTCTATCTAAGAGGCCACAATTTGGATTAGTTTGCAGAGGAATTTGTGCCCAGAGTATTATCGAAAACAATAGAGCAAACAGTGAAGTTTAGGAGTGGCAATTAGTGGAGTTTAACAGCTGGGCATGATTAGGAAAAGAGAGTAGGAGAGCCTTACCAGAACCACTGTCATTCCAGGGTGACTGTGGGCATACACATAGCTGCACCTCCCTGAAGAGGACCATCAGAGGCAGAACATTGTAGGGGAGACGTAAAGGCTTCACCAAAATAATCCAGCTAGTCACTAAGCAAATAAACAAGCAAACAGCAATACAAGCTCCAGAAGGGAGGGGGTTTGGACCTGTACCCAGAGTTGCTATTGGGTGCTGTTCAATTATTTAATGTTATTAAAATGTCCACTTTCCAACAAAAAATTAGCAAAGAAATGAAAGTATGCAGGAAAAAAAAAAAAAATGCAGGAACAGAACCTGCCTGTGTAAGCAACAGATTTTAACAGAAAAATATTTCAGAATAACCACTACAAATATGTTCATAGAATAAGGGAAAGCATGATTAAAGAAGTAATGGAAGATATATGATGATATTCCATCAAATAGAGAATATTAGCAAAGAGATATAAATTATTTTTTTAATTAAAAAAATTTTTTTTGAGACAGGCTCTCACTCTGTTGCCCCGGAGTGCGGTGGCGTGATCATGGCTCATTGCAGCCTCCACCTCTGGGGCTCAGGTGATCTTCCCACTACAGCCTCCTGAGTAGTTGAGGTATGGGCCACCACACCCAGCTAATCTTTAAATTTTTTTTGTAGAGACGAGGTCTCACCATGTTGCCCAGGCTGGATATAAATTTTTTAAAAATGCAAATTATGGAGTTGAAAAGTAAAATATCTGAAAGAAAAAATTCACAAGAGGGTTGAACAGTAGATTTCAGTGGGCGAAGAAAGAATTAGTGAACTTGATAGAGATTAGAGATTGATAGAGATTATACAAACTGAATAACAGAAAAAAAGGAAAAATGAACAGAAACTCCAGAGAATGTGAACACTGTTAAGCACACCCACATACACATAATGGGAAAACCAAAGGGAGAGAAAAGAAAAAGGAGAAAGAAAAATATATGAAATAGTAATGACTGAAAACTTCTCAAATTTACTGAAGAACAATAATCTACACATCCAGAAAGTTCAATGAACTAAAAAAGAATACATGAAAATAGACCCACATGCCTGTAATCCCAGCATTTTGGGAAGCCGAGGTGGGTGGATCACCTGAGGTCAGGAGTTCAAAACCAGCCTGGCCAACATGGTGAAACCCTGTCTCTACTGAAAAATACAAAAACTAGCCAAGCGTGGTGGCAGGTGCCTGTAATCCCATCCACTCAGGAGGCTGAGGTAGGGAGAACTGCTTGAACCCAGGAGGTGGAGGTTGCAGTGAGCCGACATCATGCTACTACACTCCAGCCTGGGCAACAGAGCAAGACTCCATCTCAAAAAAAGAAAAAGAAAATAGACCCACAGACACATTATAATAGTTCAGCAAGGTTGCAGGATGCAAAATCCATATATAAAAATCAATTGTTTTTCTGTAAACTTGCAATGAAAATCCAACATTGAGATTATGAAAATTCCAGGAGCCAGGCATGATGGTGCACACCCATAGTCCCAGCTACTTGGGTGGCTGAGGCAGAAAGATTGCCTGAGCCCAGGGGTTTGAGGCCACCCTGGCCAACACAGCAAGGCCGTTTCTAAAACTAAAAAAATAAACAATTTGATTCAAACTGGCATTAAAAAGAATAACATACTCAGGAATAAATTTAACAAAAGTAGTTCAAAACTAATACTCTGGAAACTCCAAAACAACATTGAAAGAATTAAGGAATATCTAAATAAATATGAAAGTATCCCATGTTCATGGGTCAGAAGACTTAACATTAACATGGTAACAATCCCCAAGATCTAAAGATCCAACCCAATCCCTATCAGACTCCCAACTAACTTCATTGTGGAAATGGATGAGTTAATTCTAAAAATCACATAGAATTGCAAGGGACCTAGAGCAGCCAAACAATCTTGAAAACAAAAACCAGCTCCCAATTTCAGTACTTACTACAAAGCAACAACAATCAAGAGATAGTGTGCTACTTGCAGAAGGATAGATAGAAACATAAATGGAATAGAACTGAGAGCCCAGAAGCAGACCCACACATCTATGGTCAACTGATTTTTGACAAGGGTGTCAAG